CAGTGGGTGCACGCCGCGCCACAGGCGCGTTCAATCCCAGCCCTATTTTCCCTTTGGCGCGGTCTTTTTATTCGTAAAACATTTCGAAGCTGTTCGTTTAGAATGCAATTTGAGCGTTCTACTAAATCAAATTTCGTGGTTTTTACTTTCTCGTCAACTGCTCACGAACATGGCTACTTACTTAGAGGAAGTATTGTAATGCTGCGGTAAATTATGATGAATTTTAGATGGAAAACTTTCATTGCCGGCACCTGATAATACATCAATCTTGTTTGTATATGTAGTAAATTACATGAAGCAGTGCGATGCGGTCTGAATTGTACAAACACTGGGTTCGGATTTAGATTATTGACGACTTTTTCTTCATGTAACTTACTTTTTATGAATCGTTATTATTGTTATTATTATTATTCCTATTATTATTATTATTATGACTATTATTATATTTGCATGTTATTATATTACCTGATTTATGTAATTAACTGCCTTCGGGTTATACATAATTGTAGTTTAAATAAATTCATCGAAATAATATGTGAAATACGAAAACTATGGGCTAATGTACTACCTCTAGTTGTCTTAAATGAAAGGTAGTGGGCCCCAGATGAATTATACTTGATATTTTTCACTGGCTTTACAATATATACTCGAAATTCTAGTAAATACGTCACATTAATAGACTGAACACCTATCTGCCACATTGTCCATTATTTTATCTGCAAGTTGCAAATTGATCCTAGTTTCGTCAAATTGTACTGACTGGTCTGTGGGTGAGAGTTTATAGTTATGTTTACGATGGCCTTGACTATGCACACATGCACATCACAAAAGAAAATTAATATTTAATTCACGATATATCTACTTTTGTAAACGCAAGGTAAGTTCATGTGTAGCTTTGCAACAGAATTTTTGCCTGAAAAATGTCTCAACAATCGTGCTGTGTGAGATATTCTTAGCAGTTTATTTGCTGAAGACAATGCTTGTGAGACACTGATTCAAGAACAATTGAGAATGTGATAAAACATATATAACAAAAATATTCATAAAATAGTTGTCCCTTATTATTAGGCAACTCCGCATATGCCAGTGTTTGGCAGGTACACGAAATCCATTTGACTGCTTAAGATTAAGACCTGCAGAACACTAGTGCATTGAGAGTTGTCTACCAATGTGAAGCAAATGTCAAACATGTTTCACGCACGGCTTGTTAAAAAATAGTATCAGCGAGGTCATTTGTGTACGAGTCAAATTTGTCAGCCGAACGCATGCGAGAGCAACAAAATTCGTGCGAATCACTTGTTACGTAATATTTCTTGAAATAGGAGTACTCAAACGCCATCTTTAGCTACAATTCACTTGTTTCGATTGTTCGACGCACGGCTGACACATATGTGATACTTTACTACTCCTTGCCAAATGACTTTTAACAATTTAAATTGATACACAAGTTTAAGTGTCAATTAAGATTTCTGCTGCATAACTGTTTCTACACAATTAGAGAATATATTGAGCATCAAAGAGGAAAATAATACTGATTTCAATAATGTGATTTATGGCAATTCTTATAGATACACATATGTATAGTAGTTATTTAACGATATTAGATTATAAAATGCTGCCAAGTGATGAGGGTTGCATTAAAGATTAATATTTATTTTGTTTTACAGCGCAATTTAGTGAAGTTTCAACAAAATTGATATCACATAAACCTTCTGAATAAAAAAAACAACAAACAAAAACACGTACCAATGTAACATGTGCCAATTTTCAAGAATATCGGTCACACGGTGTCGGAGTTTACCGCATCTACTTATATTAATAAATCATTAATTATTCAGTAAAACACTTTGATACTTAGACTGTTTTTTACGAATAAAAAAGACAATGAGATTAATTTATTGTTAGATTAAGACCTATAAGAATATAATCCATCCCTAACCAGAACGTACTTTATAAAATTTTAAAATGCGTTCCAACCAACGAAAATAATGTTTATAAATGTGTGTCGTTTACAAAGAAGAGTACAAACGATTTTTACTCAGTTTACTCTAACATACTTGATTTTCCGTTTTCTGTCTGTGCGTATTTTCGTTGCGAAATATAACCAGAAATGACTTGTAACCATAATTCCGTTTTAACTGTTACATGAAGAATAACACATTTACTTTTTTGTGGATTCGACGATTTTTCGACAGAAACCCTTATTGTGGGCCCTGGTTTTCAAAATGCAGATAAAAATTATTTCTTACTCTAACACCATATGACGTCAGAAATCACGTTTCACAGGTTCTTGAAATAAAACAGGGATTTTAACTACACATCGTGTTAGAGTAAGTAATTTACTATTTATCTGAACACGATTTATTGCCTTTTCTTTACTAGGGTCCGTCAATAAAAGATTTTACGTCAAAAATTCGCCGTTTTCCGGCGCATGATTACAGTATTTTCTCTTCTTACGAGGTGAGGGAAAGAAAGTTTAAAAAATAGTTTTCGCTAACAAAAATTCATGCAGAGTATGGAAGCTTAAAAATGGCGAAAGACTAATTTTCGTTAAACTTTCCGAGTTTCTGAAAATTCCAAAAGTGGTAAATAATGCAAGAAAGCATGTGCTGTTGTAGCACCACTTGTTCCTTTTAATTGTCCTGGATTATCATTCTTTGGACTGATAATAACTTCCACCAATGAGTTTATATTTGATCTCGTATAGTTAAAAGCTCCATTTCAAAACGCGTTCGCTATCGTGTTTTTTTACAACATAATATTGAATTTGATAAGTTTTTACCATTAATATTTTTTAAATTAAAATTCAAAACACCCTAAGACAAGCTTTACGGATGGTTGAAAAAAAGGAATAAATAAATCTCGAATCGAATGGTTGGCATAACAGATCAAATGGAAACAATAGTTGCCAAGTTATTATTCCGGGCGGAGAAACAAAATGATTCGGTATCAAGTGATACAATCAATCATGCAAATTTATCCGTTACAAAGTTATTGAAACAGCTTTGCAATGTTCGAAGCTCGTGATTGGGTCGGTGTGAAGAGGATCAAGCCATAATAATTGAAGTCGCGAATATGCAGAGCGCGCAACTCCGTCGTCGGACTCACTTGGTCCAGAATGCACAAGTAATAATATCGCAGCTACGGAGACCGTAGCCAATTGTCACGATGAGATGGCGAGTACCTGTCTTTTGTCAAGGCACTAGCTGTAATAGTTTGTTCACTACGTGTTTGTACTAGCTAAGAATGTAAAATACATTCAATACGAATGAATTTTACGAATAATATGACTGAGAAACATTCCATATTATATCAGACTTAGTACCTATTATTAATGACTCACAACCCCGTACTAACACAATTTATCCCAGTGAATTTTTGTTTTAGGTAATTCTAAATAATTGGTTGAATCCCTAAGCAAAATAAATTGGTTGAATCCCTATGCTACCGTTACCTATATATTGCACATCTATTACTGTCACGTAGAAGATATAGAAAACGCTTCTTTGAGTTATCCAGCCAACGTTGTGGTCACGTTTTAATTTGGAAAAGCAAATCACACTGACTAAAAGCTTTCCGCACTGCAACTGATGATGTGCACCTACTCTTAGCCAAACATGATTTTGATCATGCCTCACTTTTATAAGATTTTTGTTGAGTTTTTATGAAATGCTTCCAAGCTGTTTTTACCTTTCGATTGTTTTAACGCTCAAAATCAATGTTACTGTCGATTGATGTAAACAATACTGGAGAACAATATTTTTGTTATCTACATTACAAGAGATACTTCTGCATTATTTTTCGTTGAGACGTTTCTTTTGATGCAGATAACCGGGACATTCCGACAAACAATATAATATAACAATAACAATATAACAATATATTACAACACAAAACATGTTGTAAAACCCAAATTACAGGTCGGCGCGGGATCTCACGATCTAACATTGGAGAAACCTCCAGGGATAAACTACGAACTGTACCAATTACCATACCAGTTGACGCACCTGAGAACACAAATGAAAGCAGGTCATAATAGAGCGTAGGTGGTAGATACAAAATGACGTTCTCAAAGAGACATAACAGGAAATATGTCGAGTTGGTAAACCGACATCGCTAAGGCGGACGCTATGCGAAAGCCTCGAGTCACGAGTTCCCATTCCACCTCGGGCAAGGTGTTGCTAGACTAGAGGACGGTAAAAGAATAATTCAAACTATCTCTCTCGCTTGTGTCGAAAATCCGCTATCGTAGCAACTACAACCCTAGGAGCGGCCGGTCAAGGACGCAGCAGTGGAAACAATCATTGCCTGAGCCACCTCAGTCAGTCTGTGCTTTAAATGCGTTGTGGTCCCACTGTGCGTCGACGTCGGCGTTGGAAAACGCAGGTCGCGCGTTTCCGCAGCTGCGCTCTAATATTTGAAAACGCGATTTTCCGGACCGCGCCGCGCGGCGTGTGCGCAGCCGGGCGGCGCAAAACAGGGAGAGGAGAAGAAGAAGAAGAAGAAGAAGAAGAAGAAGAAGAAGAAGAAGAAGAAGATGGCGGAGAAGGAGGCGGAGGGGGTGGGGGTCGTGGTGGAGGGTGCTCTCGACGGAAGCGGTTCGTCGCGGACGCATCGTTTGAAGTCGCGGCGGAGGAGCGGAAGGCACGGCTTCGCACGTCGAGTGCCACACGACGCACGGATTTGAGAAGCTCTGAGGAGGAGGAGAAGGAGGAGGAGGTCGACAGGGAAAAGTGTCTTTGCTAAACGCCGCGCCGCTACGACTGAAAAAGGAGAAGGCTTTCAAGGAGGACGTTTTAAATTGGGTGTGCTCTTTTGTCGCAACTAAGTGTAAAAAGGTTTATTATAACCGTGTCTTGTAGTGTGGGAAATTAGAGCCTATTGCACACATGAAATCTGAATCGTTTAAGCAATGGAGCAATCAAGCAATGGAAAATAGAATATGTAATTATTTCAAATATAATTTGATGCTTTGAATTCTAGCAATTTTGTTTAATTACTGGTTGAGCACTAGCAGAACACTGATTACATTGACGGGGCCACGATAATTGGTAAACAATCTATAAAGCAGACATTAAATAAATTTACTAAAAGTTTTGAATTACAAGAGACAAATATGGACAAAAATTAAAAGATTGGTTTAATTTGGTTGGCATTTTTTAAAACAATTACCTCTAAATATTTTCATATAATCGTTTTTATTCAAACAATGAGGTTATTTGATAAGTAACTATAGACTTTAAAGTAACTTTGCTAATAATATTTTATACGTTGATATACATTAATCGAAACATATTATACACATTACGTTCTGGACTCAAAAACAAATATTGGTTAGGTTAAGTAACTTTTTTGCATCAAATCGATGCAAAATTTATAACAGCGAGAAAACCATTGTACCGATTTGACTATAAGCCGCCAGAATACGCTACAGAGCTCATATTACGAGCACTTAATCAATTATGCCTGCATTTTATTACATTTGATAATGCCCGCTTACCACACGATTTCAAGCTCAAAATCAATGGATATTCTTATCTGCTACGAGGGTGATAAATTCGGACGCAGCCAATTTGCCAGGAGAATAAACTTTGAGCGTGCGGCTTGATCGCCCGCCGCGGTGCGGACGGCGGCGGCGGGGGCGGGGGCGGCGACTGTGCGCGGTGGCGGCGGACGCACGGCCGCCTGGAGGGCGACGATAAGCGGGGGCGGGTGAATGCGCGGGGAGGTGGTGCGATTTACGATGGAGTCCTCCTCCTCGTCTGCCCTTCCCTCCACGCACGCCCCGTCGTGTTCCTTAGCGCGTTGCCACGCACCGCAGCCACCTTCAACTCTGTCGCATAGCTCTTTGTATGCCTCGTTCTTTTTTTCCTCTATCCCGTTTCTTGTTGTGTTATTCTCCCTGTAAGTACCTTCTTTCCTTTTTATTTCTGAACCTGTTTCTCCCCGCATCATCATACCTCCATTTCAGACTCATGGTTCACGTCGGTTACCTTTCATTGTTTTATCATTTTTTCCTTCCCTTCGTCGTCATCTTTTTATCTCTGTGCACTCGATTCCCCTTATCCACCTTTTTATTCCTTTACCATTCATGTAATTTATTTCTTATTCCATTTCTTTCCCTCCCTATAACAATAATTCTTCATTTCTTACCTCATCCTTCCTTTCCTTTTTCTTCCATTCAGCCTTTTATTTTCCTCTCTATGCTCGTCGTTGTCCCTAGTCGAGGCTCACGCGCCTCGCCCCTCGTCCATCTTCGCCCGCCTGGCGCGTGCCTCCCCGCACCTTCACCGCCCACTTGTTGCGGTCCCTTGCGCCCCTTGTCTCCGCTCCGGGCGGCGGTGCGCTTCGCGTGAGATGGAGTGCGTCGGCCTCTTGTTGCGAGGGAGCGGGTTTCGGGGAAGAGATTGGGGGAAGAGTCACGTCGAGTGCCTTATCTTCCCGCATTCTCACTGCTGTTGGGTTCCCATTAATCGTAAAAAATGTTTCCATTGACGAAATCTACAACTTGTACTTGTAGTTAACTGAATATGACTTCGTCGACGTTTTAAATTTTAAAATATTTTCGCTCACTATACGATTTTGCCACATTTTTCTGCTCCGCTGCCATCTATCGGCGCAAAAAGTATTTTTTTCAGATTTCTCAATTTTTCGGTTTCCTAATGGTAGAACGGAAATATTATTATAAGAATATTAAAGAGCCGTAAAACCTCAACCTAAATGGCAATTTTATTTGAAAAATTTGGAGCGATTTTTATGAAAATGGCGTTTAAGTGCTACAGTAAATTGAAAATTGGAAGCTCTTTTTCACAGAAAGTTTTGTGTTTTTGAATAACTTTATTAGTAGTCTTTTAACGCACATTAACCCTCAGATACAATAGTGTTGACAAATTGGTGGGAATGTGCTTATTAATGGCGTGAGAGATCTTCCACAAAATTACATTTTTATAACTTAAGATAAAACAAAACAAAAATAAAAAAAATGAATTTTACGTCATATTTAAGAGTGTAATTAACACTATCCCTTCGAAATGTTTGAAGAAAAAAGTAGTTTTTTAGAAAATGGCGTTTGAGCGTTTATAAAAATGCGGAAGATTGAGCAAGTTTTCACAGAAACAGGTTGAGTTTTCGAGAAACTTTATCTGACACATGTACTCACAAATATAATAATGTAAACAAATTGACCCTAATGTGAATATTAACGACGTGAGAGATAAGTAAAAAAGTAAAATACATTTCTGTAATTTTTGAGAAACCAAAAGAATAGAGAAATATGGCATTTAGGTCATCTTATAGAGTACATTTAAAACTATTCGAATCAAAAGTTTAAAGACAAAAGTTAGAGCCGTTTTTGAGAAAATATTTTTTTTTTGTTATTTAAGGTCGCATCAACTACTAGGTCATTAGCGACTACTATTGCTTGTAACGGTATGGTAACTGTGAGGATGACACGATAATGATGATGATAGGGGGTAAAAGGACGAACACAATACAACCATGCCCGAGGCGGGACTCGAACAGGCGATCCTTCGGTATGGCACTACTGCCTTAGGAATCTCGGCCACCTGATTGACAAGAAAATGTTTTTTTGTAATTTTTTAAAATTGCACATATTGCACGCAATATTGCCGAAGACTACTATAATTTTGGAAAAAAAGAACATAACCTTAATGAAAAAACTCACCATGGAGAACTCATTTTATTTGACGGAAAAAAATTCTATCTTTAATTTTCTACTTGCAAAAATTCATAAAAAAATTAAACTTTTGAAATTTTTGAAAATCGGCGTTGTCCCTGAAAATAAGACCTACGTCACTTTTATAAGTGTATGTTACCATATTTTTCAAGAAATTTAAAGACAAAAATTGGAGAGAAACCAGACGCACGGACGTTTTGATAAAAACAGTTTTTTCGGCATCATGGAACCCCAAAATGTGTATTTTCGTTGCAATCTCAAAATGGATTTTTCGCCGCATTGCATAACTTTCCCTATACTACTTATATTACTCCGTATATATGTACTTAAACGTGAAAGTAAAAAGGATTGAGATTTCTTCATTTTTCTCTTTGTAAGATTGATCAATCTTAATTTGTGTAACAAAGCCCAGTGAAGACGAGCCTTTTGTTTTTGAAGGCATCTGTGCGATGTTTATTTTAAAAATATATATTACGTGTTAAATAAAAAAATCAGTTATATTTCACAGCACTTTATTTTGGCGTCTTTTACTATTTTTTTAAAACCAATTTTATTTCTATTAAGAAACAATGGAAAAAGGAACTCGAGTTCACAAAGCTACTGAAGAAGCAAGCAAAATCTTATAATTTCAATATTCGTTAGTGTTAAGGAGAAGAGGAAACTCTAGGAATGTGAAGAAACAGTTTTTAAAATTCTATTCATCCCAAATACTTTACTTGGAAGAATGGAGAGGAATTATAGTTTTTAATTAGATTTCGAAGTCTTTTTGAATACGGATATTTCACGGAAATACTTGTAGCGATGAATTAAATGGAGAAAAAGGTGAAAGGGATTCGAAATACACAAACGTTGCCTACAGAGGATGAACCATTGTAGATGGAATAAATGAACACCAGCACATTCCTGAACTCTTTCATCGTGTAGGCCCCAGAGACACTGATAAGTCATGAAAGATTTTTTTAAATATTGTCGGGGTCTGTTTCTCATCTGCATCGCACTCTTCATGGCATCTGTGTCAGATATCAAGGTCTTGCCTTGGTAGAAATAATCTGACAAGACGTTAAATTAAAACATTTTGGAAGCAACAATAAATAAAAATGATTTGAGTATAAGAATAATGAAGGAGAGTCCATAAAATCCCTTCACCCATCAGCAGAGTCACTTTCTATGAATTGACTAACTTATTAAAAGATACTCAATGCTTTTGTCATTTTCATTCTTCGATAGATTGTCTGCGTTTTCTTTTGCTGCTTTTAAGGTTGAAAAATATTTGCTTCCCTTAAGTAGTGTGTGAGAGAACTTAGCTAACTTCGTATAATTGGGTCTACAAGCCATTTTGCTAACTACTTAAATTAATTTAATATGTCTCAGATATTGCACCCATTTTGGATTTTCTAGGGCGCCCTCAAGAAACTCTCCAGTCATAGGAATATGAGAATTTCGTAGAACAATTAGTATTACCTAAAATTGTTTTTAAACGTGAGACGTTTGGCAAATGGCTTTCTACGTATTTCGTAATCGTTTCTCCATTAGTACAACACACGATCATTTGATAATTTTTTTCTTAGTGGAAAATAAACAGAAAAAAATCACCACACAAACTTATTAACAACAACTAAATAACGCGTTATCGAACTCGGAAACAGGAGTGGTATGAAGAGTCATGTGCTTTGAACGAGTCACCAGATTAGTCAAAGAATTAAGATAGTGGAAATAAATGCAGATTGGGTTACAACTAATTAAAATCACGACTTTCATAACAAAAAAGGATAAGATAAGTTTAGAATTAAAACGGCGAATATATTTGAAGACAAAATACATCATTTCCATAAAACTGTTGAAGTTTGAAGACATTCTGGAAATACGCTCTTTAGTTACCTGAACCCGCATATTTTCATTGTATGTTTCCTAAAAAGCGTATTTTTCTTCGTGGTCAGCGGTATATTGATTGAACGCATTTGAAGCCCAACGCACGATATGGGGCCAGAGCATTTGTAACGAAGCGTTTCTCAGAAAAATGACATTAGAAGCGTTTGTTTATCTCATTGCACAAAACTCGCTCGTGTATCTTTTCACACCCGAATTGACTCAGCCTGTATTTATAAACTGAAAATAATTGAAGTACATTCATTTTAGTGAAAAAACATCTGCTGGCGTACAGATGCTACACATAATGACAAATGAACGTCACATGTCATTGTTATTAGTATTTTGATTAGCTTCCAATAATAAGGGGAGTATTCATTTACAGAACAGCTGTTGTAAATGAAAACGATGGGAAAGTTTCCAGGTGAACCATTTACATTACTATACATCCATCACGCCCACTATGTCTATGTGACAATATGACAGCAAATAACGTTGGGTTGAAATATCAATTCCACTAAATCGAAAGCTGAAGAGGGGCTTTAAATTTTCAGGATTTCAAATTTGTATGTTGCATGATTACTCTGAATGCAAATCATCGCACAAAGGCCACTGATATGTGTATTAATCATGTTATTGTACCAAATACCAATAGAGCACTTGCATTTGGGCATATTTGTGTTTTAGGAATACACCACGATCGCTCGCAATTTAATCAATCTCTCGTGTAATCTCAAATGATTGAAGTTCTCCTGTTATGAGAAAATGCGCTAATAAAAACAAATTTTAACACATGCACTCATATACAACTTGCTTTTGAAGAAATTGGAACTAAATCCTGGAGATGTTAAATATAAAGAAAAGATAGCACGCTATTTTATGCGCCGTTATATTCGCGAACATACTAAATGCATACAACACTGCAAGAACAAAAATACTGCACAAATGTAAACACTAAAAACAGAACTTAGTTTTGTGAATGGCAAACTTCAAATTTGTATTTTTGGCCTTTAAAGTTCAATATTTTTAGCCACAGAAATGTATATGTAAGGCCATTACACAAAAGTCGTGGGTTTCTACTTTAAATCTAAATAAAACAAAGTGGGGTTTGTTACACAATTTATAACTCAAGAACGGCTAGACTAATTTTAATTATCTCTGATTTGTCGGATTCATCTCGTCTAATAATAGCAGAATAATTATTAAAGTGTTGGAAAAATTCACGAAAAAAGAACATAGATCAAAACTAAATATTAATGTCAAATGCAACGCCCAACACTCTGCAGGACGTATGACTCTATATCGTTAAATAAGTCCTAACCGAAGCGTTGTAGAACATAAAAATCTAAAATTTTGAGGTCGGAGGATATAAGAAACGTTTTTCACACCA